AGGGAAATCTTATTTTTTAATTTTAGGAAAAAAGTTGTCTTCTCAGAAAATTAATAGAAAGCTATAAACCAAATATTAATATTAGTTACTTTATGGGTATAAAATTATGAGCAGCTTTTACCTTCTTTAGCTTATAAATATTTCCTATAATTTAGACTGAAAAAGTGTATTAATTTTATGATTCAAAAAGTTAAACATTGCTATGCCCTTAATTCCATAAACTATGTATGGATAAAAAAGAATGGGAAATATCCAATAAAACATTGGCAGTGATATTCCTAAATAACAAATTATTTTTATTTTCTCATTTATCATTTTCCATATTTTGCAATTGTTCAACATATATTACTTTCATACTAGAAAAAAAATGAGTTTGAGGAATGTGTATGTCCAGTGTGCTCAGTTTTTATGGAGGTGACTATAACATTGTAGTAATCACCCTGATCACCAGATAAAACACAGTGATTTGGGCAATTTTTGCCCCCCACCCCAAACACCTGAAGAATCGTACAAATTGCCAATAGTAACAACTACCACAACCATGATTTATCTTGAGAATCATTGACCCACAAAATATTATTAAAGTTATGAAGAATTGTGGGATTATATTTAAGTGTTTAAAAATAAAGTTTGCATACCATTATTTTATAAATTAGAACTATTTAAATGTAAAGAAGATAATACATAATGTATTCTCTGGACAAATAACAGGAAACATTACTAGGTAGAAGAGACTTAACTATTTCCTGTCCCCATTAGAGAAAAGATAAAATGGGTTTAATGGCAAGATGGTTTTAGTTACACCATCAGCCATGCCATGCCCAGAAAGATATGAGCAGAACAACAAACCAAGATTTGGATAAACAAAAAATTTAATACTTACTGCATTAATACATGGTGGCTTCCATGTCCCTTGCCATTTAAAAACATTAACAGTGCCAATGAATATTTTACAGTTTGTAAGTTTTGTCCTACCAAAATCACAACATTAAATTGCAAACATGGCACCCTCAGGAATGGTAAGAAAACAAAAGAGTCTTTTCCTATTTTTCTAGAATCTTTCAATAAAAGATATTGTACCTACTAGTATCTAGGACAGAGCAGTGGCAATACCTGGCTTAGTAAATTTTGATAGATTTCTTTCTTGCTCTCTATATACTTAAAATAGGTTTAAAAATACCAATCAATAATCTCTAATGGAAATACTTCTTTCCATAATATCTAACCATTGAGATACAACTTCTTAGTTTAATAAACAAGCACTTAAAACAACTCTAATGTTTTAAAATGTATTATTCTACGCTAAATAAATTTATACTATGCTACTTCAAAATTTATCAAATAAGGTATTTTTTATTTTTAACTATCATTAATTATTTTTACATTAACCACTTTTATTTCACTCCTAAAGGTCTTAATCACAGGGAATCAACAGATTCCTCTAAACATATTCCTTAAGAAAAAAATGGAAGAAAATGGAAGGAGTTAAGTGAAATGGTGTGTGACAACCATGGTAATTCTAATGGGGAAATATGGGTTAAATGGTAAGTTCTATATAGTAACATTCTAAACATACATTTTTACCAAGAAAGATAAAATTAAATGCTAATGTCGGTGTTTTCAGAAAAAGCTAAAAGCATGCTACTACAAATAATTTACAGAAATTTAACAAATTCACTCAAAAATGCAAACTATACATTATCACAACATGATTTACAAAAGGATATATATACAATGACAATTCAAACTAATGTTTTTAGGTAAACCCAGAAAATTGAAAATGCTGTTCCCCTTTTAATTGAACACATATTTATCAAAATAATGAATATGTTAAATATCATTCATCATGATTTAACATATCATGATGAATGATATTTAACATATCATGATTTAAATAACCAGTGAAAAATCAAACAGATATTTTCATTGATACATAAAACAGCGATAGTGAGGTTAGGAAACCAAGTTCACTCACATCAATGACCTACTAATATACAGGCACTTATTCTAACCCACTAGGAAAAATGTGAACCACAAAACACATTTTTCCATTTTAAATCTTTAGGCAGTCTGTGTATATTGACCTTAAAGTAGTCACTTAATATGAGTGAAGCTCATATTCCACTACCTATAAAGGTCTAATGCAAAGAAAGGTTGTCATTTTATGTTGATAAGAGTTTTTAACTAATATTTTATATGTTTATTTTGTTTACAAATGACAGAATTATACAGATTATTTTTTATATTCAAATGTGGAATTTCTATATACAATTAACCCTCAGCATGATTTCTGCTTCTGATGTGCTAATGAAGTATTTAAAAATTATACAAACAAACATCCATTAAACAGCATTTTATTTTAGAACACTCTGTCTTAATACAATAAATATACAAAACTTCCAAACCACCGGAGACATGCAACATTAGAGGGACAGATGGAGGGCATTTATATAGAACCATGACAGTCACCATAATGGCAGCGCAGTATTACTATACTTACTCACTGACAAAATATACAAACATCCCTACATAAATAATCCAAGTCCCAAATTACAAGTCACTGAGGAAGGATTTTCCAGTGTTCCAACTTCAGTTTTAAATAAAAACAGCCACCACTTAATATTGCAGACTAAAAAATGACATGGGTGCTTACACTGTAAAAAAAAACAATTTCATGATTCTGATAATGGGTAATGTTAATATGAAGCATAAAACACTAACAAATGCCAATCTTTTGCTGGGTGAAAATGTGACTATTTACCAATTTTGTTAATAGAAAATATAAGAATTTAAAATCCCAAACCTTATCAATCTGTAAGCATTGCCCTCATTTTAATGCACATTTATGTCCTTAAAAAACAATTCTCTCATAAGCTTTATTAACCCAGATAACTGAATTTAAAACAACATTTTCCCCACCTACACAAAAAGATACTGTTGGTTATAATTATTCTTTGCTATTTAACAATGGGGAGTTCTATAGGATAAAGGTATTCCTGTTCTTGAAGGAAAGTATCTCAGCATTTTTCAAAAGTCTCTATGATGTAGCTTTCATTTGCACTTTTAAGAAAAAGAAAAATGAACTTGAGATATAAATTAGTAATGGATATAGTGTTCTTGTATTTTGTGGTGAACATTTTCAATATATGTAAAATCCACACTCAATAGAGCACACAGATGAAACAATTTTTTAGTAAGACTATAGATTCTGAAAAACTACTGGCTTATTTGGTTGAGAAAGTAGGTGGAGATTATCACTGATCAGAAATATTCACAAACAGCTTTAAATTCATACTCTGAACCCTATTTTCATCAAAATAAAAGAAATAGATTCCAAGTATATTACTTCAATAAAGTCCCAAATAAATCAAATGTAAACACGACTGGAATGGACCTATGTCACCTAGTAGCACTATCATGCGAAGCTTCTTTCATAAATACTAAGAACTCACCATCCAGCCCCAGCATGGACTTCATTTTAACTTCAGATTTGGGAAGAAGAATGAAAGTGATTTAACCATTTGTGCCCATATGATTTTTTTTTAAGGGATGTGCATTATCAAATAATATAATCCAATAAATGATCCTTATTTAAAATAAAGTTGAATAAATCACTATTATTCTATAATTTTAAATTAGCTAATTACTTGTAAAACACAGTATCATGACTTTACAAATGTACTGAGTCTCTTAATCAGTATTAAAGATGGTTCAAACTTTCAACCCAAATATAAGAATTCCTGTGCTGCATAGTAATAATTTTAAAGTGATTATATTCATAATTAATGCATTCAACTGTATGTTTTCTTGCTCAGTGCAAATTAAATGTTTTCTTTTTTCTATTACTAAAAAATTTTAATATATTCAGTCTTTCTCAAAATTTGAAAAACTGATATGTAGTAGAGATTCAATTATACGTAAAATGCCAGGATCTTTTAAAATTTAATGCCACTAGAGATGAGAGACTAAAAAAAAATCCCTTAAATACTGTACGTTCTTTATGGACAGGGAGTTAAAACTAGACTTTAATACCTCTGTTAAAAATTACACACATACACACACCCTCCACAAAAAGAGCTGCCAAACGTATTCTCAGTTCCATGAAAAAGAGTAGTCACAGAATACACCAAAGTTTCATACAGTAATATTTTACTATGATATGAACACTGAAAATTAAAAAAAAAAAAAAAAAAAAAAGGTATTCTCATCAGTACATACTATTCCATCAATTTTCCACCTTTTCTTTTGGATAATGCACTACATATTATATTCTCATACTGCACCCCAATACACTTTTATTTAAAAGAAACTATTACAGAAAATCATTTCTAAAATTTTACAAGTGACTCCCCAATTGTACAACCATAAGCAGTGCAGAACCCAAAATACTATTTTAATTTAAAAAACGAAGTGCCCATGCAAGATCATAGAATGATATCAAAATATCAGCTACTCTAAAGAAAGAAAATAAGATAAAATTTACGTTCTCTACTACGAAATGCACATAGGCTCTTCACTTGTGACTGAAACTGCTAATAAAGCAAGCCAATCTAAAAATCCACAAGTCTCTGATGGTCTATTTCTTGCAATATAAATAAGAAAAAAGAAATGAAGCATCTATTTACTGCTCCAATGTGTAATTTTTAAATCTAAGATTCTTGAAAGAATGACTGCAGCTATTACTAAGTACATTTTTAATCAAAAGTACCATATTAATTTTAGTGTCTTGTCACTGAAATAATTTTCAGAAAATTCATTGCCCCCATATATGGAGAACATTTATTTAGCATGTAATATTTTTTTTCTGCAAAGGGGCACTAAAATCTTAAGAAACTGTTAGGTAAATAATAAGACTAGGAAGTTTTTCTGGTTTTTGCCCATGCACAAGTAAATAGGAGATATACATGCTGTGTGTACTGAACATAAAAATATTTATAGAATTATAGTAAGTGAAGAAAAAAGTACAGTCAAAAGGTAACAGTGTATTGTTTGAAGATTCTCTAAATTTGGTTACCCTTGAAAGCATTCTGAGCTGCACTGGTTGCTGCAGTGGAAGCTGCGTTTGCAGCTGCGGTCTGGACAGTTTTGTTGGACATCACACCTGATGCGAATTCTTGTTGGGCCTTCTCAAAACTAGCACCTGTTGTGCGATATAGTCCATGTACCTACAGAGGCACAAAAAAGCAGAAGATGGTAAGTGGTCATCTATACATTCACTTTCAATAGCATATATATATATATATATATATATATATATATATATATATTAATTTCAGAGAGGAAGGGAGGAGAGGGAGATAGAAACATCAATGATGAGAGAGAATCATTGGTCAGCTGCTTCCTGCATGTCTCCCACTGGGAATCAAGCCTGCAACCCAGGCATGTGCCCTTAGCCGGATTCGAACCGGGGACCCTTCAGTTCACAGGCTGAGGCTCTATTCATTGAGACAAGCTGGCTAGAGCTCAATAGCTCTTTTTTTTTTTTTTTTTTTTTTTTTTTTTTACAACATGACAAAAAAAAAAAGAAGGAAAAAAAAGGGAGTAGATTCTAGGCACGATTTCTAAGATCAAAAACATCAGCCATCACATTGACACAAAATATTGTATTTAAATATTTCCTTAACATAGATTTTCCTTTTAATCCCCAATGCAGAAAAAATTATGCCTACACCAAATCAAAAATAATTTAAAGAACTTAATCAAATGAAAAAAGCTTTCTTTTCTGTTGTACATAATTAAATAGTTTGACATAATAAGATACATTCTGACTTTAATACATTAATTTACTACCCTCAACAAATCAAAGAAATATTTTATAATGCTTTATCTATTTCTGTATTGGAGATATATATACCACTGACCATATTATAGTCCTATGACATAATTTTATCATTTAATGTACCAAGCACTATTTATGTCCTCAAAGATACTTCTGCTGTCTATTCTGTATACATTTAACCTTTTGTGAATGGTCAAATTTTAAAGGATTTACAAAGAAACAATTCTGTGAACTGTCTGTCCATTCTGATTTATCACTCAAATCTTGGGATTTCTTATAATGAGTAAGGTTCAAAAATACTCTATTAGCATGTGTTTTAAGATGCATAAACGATGAAGCACATCAATACATATAACATCAGCCACTCAATTTAATACAAATTTGAGAAAGAAAATAATAAAGCAAATTAGAACAAATATTTATTATATGCCTACAAACTTGGGGGGGGGAGAGGAAGAGACTGAAAATTAAATTTGTAATTATACTGCACTGTGATTAGATCTAAATTAGAACCCTGAATGAAATGCAATCAAAGCAGGTTTGGCGGATGGGAGCAGTGCATCAAAGTTAGTCCTTTCCCCCAACCTGGATAGGAAGTAGTAATAAGAGAATAAATGTCAAGTGAAAAAAAAGAATGAGTCAAAGACATTCAAGTTAAGTATGGATACTAGAAAGTCATTTCAAAAAGAATAGAGAGGATAGGCTGATTTGGGAGAAGGGGGGAGATACTTAGTTAGGTTCCAAACAGTCATACATTCTTACAAATGTTTACTGAATACCTACTCTCGGCCTGCCACAGGCAGGTGATGATTTGGTTTGGAGCTCAAGAGAGGAATGGGCTAGAGACATGGGCTTGGAAACCACTGGCATATACATGGTAGCTACAACTCTGACAAATGAAACTGTCCATGAAGAACATAAAGTAGAGGCTCCTGTGTGGTTCCAATTCTTGTGGTTATCCTGCTGGGGCTGAATACTGAGTTCCATGGAAGCATCTGACCCCGCTGAGCTTCCCAAGCTGCTTAAGCTTTAGAAGCTCTTTCTCTTCACCTAATATTATTGTTGGCTCAACTATGGCAGAGTGATAAAGAGAATTACTCTCAACAATGTTAATTTTCATTCACACTAAAAGATGATATTTACATTTTGCTACCAATCCTTTAACAACCTTGAATCCATACAAGATTGATATAGGTATAGTATATTCCTACAAACCCAATCAACATAATACAATGAAGCTGAGAGCTTTCCAGAACTATAAAAAACAAACAAACTGATGTTTGACATTGACATAAACTATGATGATGTGAGGAGATGTTATAGTTCTTTAGACATATATTCTAAGTGCTGGACACTCATGACAATGGCCATACACATCAACTGAGCACTGAAAGAGGACTATGAATTTAAGCATTGCTTCTAGATATGTTCTAGAACAGTGTTTCCCTAAGTGTGGTACGCGAACCCCCAGAGGTACGGGAAGAGTTTGGTGGGGGTACATGTTGCACCGGAGTTTGGTAGGGATATGCATTGCACCGTGATTAGCTGCTTCTAATTCTACGTTCTCATGAGTACAAGGGGTACTCAGCATTACAAAAATTATAGAAGGGATACACATATGTCAAAAGTTTGGGAAACACTGTTCTAGAAGAAGAGGTGCTCACTGTTTGTGATGAATCAGTTAGAAAACTGTCCTCCATAGTACAGTCTGGAATAGTGAAGTATTTGAATATTGTAAAGGATGGTCAAGATATTAAAAAGAAATTATACTAAATTTAAAAAATCACCTTTTGTCAGAAAATCTATAAACATAATAAATACTTCGAAGAATATACCTTGGTTGGTCAAGATATATTTTAAGCTCGTGTTCCTGAAACAAAATTCATGATGACCTTCAACAAAGCTAAAAGAATCACAGTCTACTTCAGTAATAGGAGCTTTTGAAGGACCATTTGAAGAAAGTAGCCAGATATCTGAATGACATAAAATATGACAAATGTGGAGCCTGGCTTGAGTGGGAGGATCATGCTCCAATACTGTTTTCCATGGCTGGATATCAGTGTTAGCAATGTAATTTCTAATATAAATATTCCCTTCTACCAGTTGCTAAGAAGCCCTTCTAGTATTCATCCTAAAATAGGTCAAATTTCAGTGTCTACTGATTTACAGAAAGTAATCAGTTTGATCCATTTACAGTTCCAACTGTAAGCTCCATCTGCCATGAATTAGATGCTATTTCCACTAATGAAGAGGAAAAAGAGAACAAAGCTGAATCCGATATCAAACACAGAACCATAAATTATTAGACCAATCTAGGTACTCACGTAAAAGTATTTGAACAGTTTCTTGAAAACCTGGATAAATCCCAAAAAGAACTTCAAGAAGATAACAAAAAGACTTCCAAAACAACAAATCCCCTCCAATGTGGATAACTACTACCTTCAATGATAAATCAAATATTTCAAGAGATATTTAATAAATATGGCAGAACCAGATATGTATTTTAATGCCCAAAGCAAAATTTCCTTTTCTTGAAAAATGACTATGTTAAAAAGATTCCCAAGACTACCAAAGAAGAATGTACAGTTCCTGGAAGGAACAATATTGGGAGGAATAAGTGGATTACAGAAAAATTTGTAAAATTTAATTTTATACAAAGACTAGGGGCCCAGTGCACAAAATTTGTACACTAGGGAGGGGATCCTCAGCCCAGCCTGCCCCCTCTTACATACTGGGAGCCCTCAGGGGATGTCCTACTGATGGCCTAGATCCATTCCCCTCTGGGAGCAGACCTAAGCCCCAGTCTGGCCTCCCTTTGTGGGAGGTGACCAGGCTGATCAGGGTAAGGTGCCAGCCCCATCACCCTACTGCTGCAGCCACTGCCAGTCACCGCAGCTGCCAAGGTATTTTCATCAACACAGACTCCAGTCCCTTCACCATGAAAAAAATGAAAACTTTCTTTAAGCATTTCAAGATGTGTCTTTCATTGGATATGACATTTCTTTATTTTTCTTTTTATCCTCACCTGAGGATATGTTTCCATTGATTTTTTCCCCTTCCCTCTAATTCCAGGCTCAGCCCCTTCCCAAGCCTAAAGCTTTCGCCCCAGGCTTTAATCTTGGGAAGGAGATCCCCCTCCCCCGCACCTCTCAGATTGCAGACTCTGCCCCTTCCCAAGCCTAAACCCTCCAGCTGATGGCCAGCTGGCAGTGACCTGGGTGCCTCGTATGTATGCAAATTAACCACCATCTTTGTTGGGCTGATTTGCATACTCACTCTGAGCATAGTGGAGGTACGATCAATTTACATGATTCTCTATTAGGTAAGAAGATAATTTTAAAATTTCTAATATAAATACTGACTTCTACAAGTTGCCATATATAGAGGTAACTGAGCAGTAATACACCCAAGACTTTAATCTCAGCTCACTAGATATAGCCTCCATATTTCTGGAGTGAATATTCTAGGTGAATGAGGGCTTTATTCTTAAGTTAATTATATTCAGTCACTTCTGTATATTCAGTCACTTCTTTGTTTACTGATATTTTTATAGGTCAGGCCACATCCCACTGCCCATCTTTTAAAAATAGTTTTAAACTGAACATCTAAACCAAAACTTTAATTCAAAAGATGTGTTACTAGGATAATAACATTAGGGCCTAGTATTGTTTACAATTGTTGCAATTGTAGCTCCTAACTTCTTCCCTTAAGAGAACAACTGGAATGATTAGATTTGTCTACATCATAAAGCAGCAGCTTAGAAAAACTAACCAACTTTACCAACATAAAACCTATTATATTTATCAAAACACTTGAACCTTCTATATATCCAGATACTAACATTTAATTTTAAAGTTTTTATTTCTTCCATTGTTGATTTTGTGTGATAGATTCTGAATTGTCAGATTTCTTTTGTCTGGTTGCATAACCAATCTAAACAAAACAGTCTTTCTGGTTTGCATTCTATCTTCTGAGAGACTCTGGGAAGCAAGCTATCAGGGTAAGGCGCCCTGGTACTTTCTGTGATTTTTGAAAAATTTCCTTCCTTTGCATTTTCTTTAACATTGTTTTCTCTATAGCACCACCATCTTTAAAAAAAAAATCTTTTGGTTTATATAAAACACTTTATAATGCAGTCAACACACTGAAATGTCTTGCATTTCTTTCTCTTTTTCAACTTTTTTAGAAAAAGACTATTGTGCAATTTTTAAAATATCACACATGCAAAGTAGGAGGAAAGTCAAATGTACCAAAGTCTATTTAAGACACCAATATTTAAGAGGTACCCACAACAACAAGGAATGATTAGGAGAGGAAGGAGGAAAAAACCAAGGACCCTTTTACAGATGTCAAGAGAAGAAAGCATATTAAGGAATGAAGAAATGT